GAGGAGGAGGAGGAGGAGGAGGAGCAGCGGCTGGAGAGCGACGACGAGACCACGAGGAGGCAGCAGGGAGGCTGCGGGAGCCCAAAGGAGGCTGTCAGGACGACGGCCAGGAGGCAACGCACGACGAGCGTCGAGGAGGATGAGGAGGGGGAGGAGGACGAGGACGAGGACGAGCCGGCGGCCGGCGGCAGCAGGCCAGGAGGAGACCGCAGAGGCCCCCTGCCCGGCCAGCCAGGAAGGAGGAGCCCGCCGAGGAGGAGGAGGAGGAGGCGCCGCGCCAGAAGCCGCCGCAGAGGGAGAAGGCCCCGGAGCCGGCCGCCGAGGAGGAGGAGGAGGAGGAAATGAAGCCTGTCAAGAAGTTCCTGGAGGACCCCGAGGCGTGCGCTGCGGCGAACCCGGTGGCCGCAGCGCCGGCGGCGGGCGGCGGCGGGCGGCGGCGAGAAGAAGGAGGAGAGGAAGGCCGCGGCCGTGGAGGAGGAGGACGAGGACGTGGTCTTCGACATTTTCGGCTGAGCGCACCCCGGCGGCGGCGAGCGCGCAGGCGGCTCTGTACCCATCCCGTGTAGCCCCTGAACGCCCTCTTGGGGGCCTCTTGGGCCGTCTTGGGCCAGCTTCGAGCCAACTTGGGCCATCTTGGTGGGTTCCTGGCACGTCTGACGCCGTCGGGAGCCGCCTTGGGGGCATTTCTGGGCCGACTGGGGGCCCTCTTGGGGCGCTTCGGGGCCGTCTTGGAGGCCAGCTTGGGCGTCTTCGAGGCCATCGAGGGCGTCTTGGAGGCCTCTTGGGCCGTCTTCGGACCTCTTGGGGCCGTCGTGGGAGCCTCTTAGGCGATCTTGGGGCGATTTTGGGGGCCTCTTGGGCCGTCTTGGGCCGTCGGAAACCCGACAAGGCGCAAATCCCCAAATCCTTCAAAAACTTATGGAAGATCAATGATTTTGGCCTCTTCGGGCCTTCCTGGAGGACCTCTTGGAAGCCTCTTGGGCTGTCTTGGAGGCCTCTTGCGGGCCTCTTGGGCCGTCGTGGGCCGTCTTGGACTCTCGTGGGCCGTCTTGGAGGCAGTCCTGGACCATCTTAGGCGGACTTGGAGGCCATCTTGGGCCATCTTCGCGATTTGTCGAGGATGTCCCGAGCGAAACGGCCGTTTCTGGCATTGACTTGTGTAGTTTCTGGGTGGCCGGCGGGACGGACCGAAGCCCCAGGGGGAGTTCTTTTGGACAAAGAAACAAGACCAAAACCGAGAGGGTTCAGCACGCCAGCCACCCCTGCGACGCACCTGCGATGAATCGACAGGGGGCGGCGGACTCCGCCTGGGGGCTTCGGCCCGTCCCGCCGGCCACCCGGAAACTGCACAAGTTAGCTCGGGACATCCTCAAAAATCGCGAACATGGCCCGAGATGGCCTCCAAGTCCGCCCAAGATGGTCCAAGACGGCCTCGAAGACGGCCCAAGAGAGTCCAAGACGGCCCAAGACGGCCCAGGAGGCCCCCCAGAGGCCTCCCAGACGGCCCAAGAGGCCTCCAAGAGGTCCTCCAGGAGGGCCCGAAGAGGACGAAATCATTGATGTTTCGTAATTTTTTGAAGGATGTTGGAATTTGCTTCTTCTCGGCATTCCGACGGCTCAAGACGGCCCAAGAGGCCCCCAAGATCGCCAAAGAGGCCCCCAAGAGCGCCCCATGACGGCCCAAGTGGCCTCCAAGACGGCCCCAAGATGGCCCAAGAGGCCTCCAAGACGCCCAAGATGGCTTCCAAGACGGCCCAGAGCCCCCAGTCGGCCCGGAAAGGCCCCCAAGTCCAAGACGGCTCCCAACGGCGTCAGACGTGCCAGGAACCCACCAAGATGGCCGAAGTTGGCTCGAAGCTGGCCCAAGACGGCCCAAGCGGCCCCCAAGAGGGCCTCCAGGAAGGCCAGAAGAGGCCAAAAACCTAGATGTCCCTTTGTTTTTTCACTGAATTGTGCATGTCCTTCTTTTCGGCCTTTCGACGGCCCGAGACGGCCCAAGAGCCCCCAAAGATCGCCGAAAGATAGCCCAAGAGGCCTCCAAGATGGCCCCAGAACGGCCCAAGAGGGCCCCAAGACGGCCCCAAGAGGCCCACAAGACGGCACAGGACGGCCTTTAAGAACCCAAGATGGCCTCCAAGACGACCCTGGAGCATTTCAAGAGGGCCCCAAGTCGGCCCATAGAGGCCCCCCAAACGGCTTCCGACGGCGTCAGACGGACCAGGAGCCCACCAAGACGGCCGAACATGGCCCTAAGATGGCCCAAGACGGCCCAAGAGGCCTCCGAAAGGGCCCCCAGGAAGGCCCGACAAGGCCGAAATCATTGATTTCCTATGGATTTTCGAAGGATTGTGGCATTTGCTTGTTTTCTGCCTTCCGACGGCCCGAGACGGCCTAAGTGCCCCCAAAGATCGCCCAAGAAGCCCAAGACACGGCCCCAAGAGGCTCCCCAGACGGCCCAAGAGGTCTCCAAGACGCTCAAGATGGCCTCCAAGACGGTCCAAGAGCCCTCCAAGACGTCCTCCAAGAAGGTCCGAAAGGGTCAAAATGGCCTCCAGACGGACAAGATGACCTTCAAGATGCCCACGTGTTCCCCGAAGGCTTTCCAAACCGATTCGGGGAACACATGGTCCGATAGCTTGGCAGGTCTGGCCTCAACGTTCGGCCACATAGGCGCTTCCAAACAGGCAGGGGGCGGCGGTGATTCGCCGTAGGCGTCTTCGATCCGCCGCCCCCTGTTAATTCATCACAGGGGTACCCGGCGTGCTGAATCATTTCGCTTTTGGTATGGGTTCTTTTTCCAAAAGAACTCCCCCTGGGGTTTCGGCCCCGCCCGACGGGGTCCTGGAATGGCCCGGAAAGGTCCCGGAATGGCCCGGATGGTTCCAAAAGATTCTCAGATGGCTTCAAGATGGCATCCACGATGGCCAAGATGGCCCAAGACGACCCAAGGTGGCCTCCAGGTTCGCCCAAGATGGTCCAAAATTGCCTCCAAGACGGCCCGGGAGAGTCCAAGATGCCTCCAAGTTCGCACAAGAAACCTCTCAGACGGCCCGAGACGGCTCCAGAGGTCTGCAAGAGGCCTCCAAGTGGGCCCAAGAGGCCTCCAAGAGTTCCTCCACGGGAGCCCGAAGAGGTCAACATCAATGTTTCCTTAGATGTTTGAAGGAGTTTGGCTTTTCTTCTTTTTGAGCGTTCGGACGGCTCACGACGGTCCAAGGAGCCCGAAAGATTGCCCGCAGAGGCCTCCAGGACGCCCAAGGCGGTCTCCAAGACGGCCAAGATGGCCTCCAAGATCCTTCCAACACGGTCAAGATGAGCTTCAAGACGGCCAAGATTGCCGCTAAGACGACCAAGATAGCCCAAGATGGGCCCGAGAGGTTCCAAGATTGCCCCAGAGGACTGCAAGAGGTGCTCCAGGAAGGCCCGAGGGAGCCAAAATCTTCAATTGCCCTTTTGATGTTTGAAGCATTTGTGTTTCTCCTTGGTTTTGGTGTTCCGACCGCCTAAGACAGCCCAAGGAGTCCCCAAACTAGTCCTAGAGGCCTCCCAGATGGCTCCAGAACGGCCCAAATGGCCCCCAAGACGCCCAAGACGGTCTCCAAGACGGCCAAGATGGCCTCCAGGATGCCTCCAAGACGGCCGAAAAAGGCCTCCAAGACGGCCCCTGATGGCCTGAAGATGGCCTTAGACTGCCCAAAAGGCCCGCCACAGGCCCCCAAGACGGCCCAAGACGTCCTCCAGGAGGCCCGAAAGCTCGGAAACCACCTGGATAGCTCGCCCGACTCCGTGTTCCTCGAAGGCTTTCGAAACCCATTCGGGGAACGCGTGGCCCGATAGCCTGGCCAAGCTAAAACCCAACTTTCGGCCACGCAGGCGCTTCCAAAAAGGCCGGGGGCGGCGGTGATTCGCCGTAGGCGTCTTCGATAGCAGACCTGAGGATGCTCATTCCCGCAAGAATCAATGGGTCGGCGGATGTGGCGTAAGCCTGTAGTATCCACGTCCGGAAGTGACGTGCTGAGCGGCAGCATTTTCTGCGGAGGCGATAATGCAACGTACCCAATGTATCCAATTGTTGCATAATTGCCACATACTGTATTGCTTTACATTATGATGTCTCCCCCCTAACCCCCCCCAGGGGCTACGCCACATCCGTCGACCCAAGATGGAGACCCCCCTCCCGGGGCTCAAAAACCTACCAAACCTGATAGAAAATCAATGATTTCGGCGTCTTGGGCCTCTTGGGGGCCTACGAGGGCGCCAAGACGGCTCAAGATGGGCCCAAGAGGGCCCCAAAAGCCCCAATTACGGCCCAAGAGGGCCCCAAGAGCGCCCACAACTTCGCCTCCAGATGCCAAAATCATTGATTGTCCTACGGTTGTGGCGATATTTCAGCGTTCTCGCCTTTGCGGCCCAAGCAGCTTCCAAAATCGTCCCAGAACAACCCGAAACGTCCCCAAGAGGGCCTCAAGACGGCCCAAGAGGGCCCCAAGACGGCCCAAAGAGGCCCCCAAGACGGTCCAAGAGGCCCCTAAGACGGCCCAAGAGGACCCCAAGAGGGCCCCAAGGCGGCCGCGAGAGGCCCCCAAGACTGCCTCCGAAGGGGCGAAACGGCAGAAAAACGCCCCAAGACGGCCCAGGACGCCCCCAAGAGGCCTCCAAGACGCCCTCAAGGGGCCCCAAGAAGCCCCCCAAAAGGCCTCCAAGAAACATCCAAAAGGCCCCATAGAAGCCCCCAAATCCCACACAGCGACTGGAGTGTACTGTCATTTTCCCCCCCTGGGCGAAGTGCGGCGCAGCGCCAGCCAAGTGGAAGTTGGTCACGGCGGCGCCCATGATTAGTGCTGGCGCTGGAAGGGGATATGGGGAGGGAGCATGAGAAGGAGGGAAGGGGGAGAGGCTCCAAAAACGTCCCCAAGACGGCCCCACGAAACTCCCGAGAACCCTCAAAACGACTTCACTGTACGTACTCCGGACGTGCACCCCGCGAAGCGAGAGGAATCATCATTCAAAGCTTGGCGCCAACGGAAGAGCCAATGCTTGGTGAAAAAGCCCACTGTGGTTGACAAAAACATTGAGACAAAATTAATCTGCGAAACGTTCCACAATGAGGCGTAAAATTCGTCCGCCGTGACATTGCCGGGCTTTTCCAATGCCTTCTGGAGCAAGTCGAAGAAGCTGCCAAACCAGGCGTTGACGATGACATCCAACTGAACCTGACACCACACGGTGCCGAGAATTATGGCTGCCCCGGGCCACGACCACACGAGCCATTCGCGCTGCCAGAAGAATTGCCAGAACATGCTGCGAGCCACTGCAGCGTCTGGGGTGCACAAGACTCACCCGCAGTGGCTTCAGCCAAAATGGCTGGAGAAGGCGCGAGGACATGCAACTTGCGCTGCGAATTCATCCCATTGCTGGCTATCGTGGCCCTCCTCTCCCCATCGTGGTCCCATGACGGTGACGGTGATGATGATGATAACGATGATGATGATGATGATGATGATGATGATGATGATGATGATGATGATGATGATGATGATGATGATGATCATGCAGAGTATGATGATGATGATGATGGTGGTGATGATGATAATGATGCTGATGATGATGGTGGTTGTGCTTATGATGATGGTGACGGGAGTTTCAGCGAAGCTCCTCCTGCCGGGCGAGATTCGTCTGCAGCCTGCTTTTCCGTCGACTCATGACGAACACCTTTCACATGGATTCGTCGCCCCCTATCCGCGAGTGACATGGCGCGCGTATTATTCTGGAAATCTGGATTTCTGGCTATATTTCAGGATACCCTGTGGTACGATTTCAGGAACCCTGGAAATCTGAACATCCAAATGTTGTACTCATGGTTTCTGGGCTTTGCCCCACAGGCCACCGAGCACCAACTTCGCGGGCCACCGAATCCGACGGGGCGGCAAATCACACAGGCCACTAGATCTGGGAAAAGGACCGAGCCCCGCAAACCACCAAATCCCACAGGGCACGGAACCCCGCAGGCCACAGAATACGACTCTGGGCCACGCAATCCACCGAATCCAACGAGGCCACCTGAACACGTCGGCCACCGAATCCGACAAGAAACCGAACCCCACAGGCCACTGAATACGACACGATGCCAACGTGCCAAGCGAAAACGAGAAACACAACGACGCCGCCAATCACCGATCAAACAAAACTGACAACTAAACGAGCTACGCAAATGCAACTCAACACGAAACGAACAACAAAACGAACACCCGTTAGCTATGGCTAGGGCAATGCCGATGGACTGAAGTAAGGGAAGGAGTCATAGGCGCCGGCTAGGGGTTAGCGTTGAGGAGTCCCAGAGCAACAACGAAGGGTTCAGGCTAGAAAACCAGTTGTGCCACTTGCAGCCTGGGCCTCGATATAAAGCGGTTCACTGACTGAGAGTAATTACGTTCCCCGTATGGCTCGTTCACCTGGCAACAGGTTGCCCACGGACGGGTAGGCCACCCGAAAGCAGAATGTGGAAAGCCAGCCATGTCATTCGTCTTCTGGGTCTCAACATGAGATGAAATATCCTCCACTGGGCCCCCCCTGGCACGTTGAGGCGTGGAATAATGCCAAGGACTGCTAGGCAAGGTTTGGTAATCGAGTGAGGAACCGCCCCTCCCTCTACCCGCAGGCTGTTGCGTACGTCTCCCCTGACCAACGACGCCATCTCCGTCGTGTCCGCTCTAGGAAAGTGCACTTCCAGCATGGCTGCCAATGCGTCAAGCCGACGTGAGTGGGTTCCAAGACGGCCCAAGAGGGCCCCAAGAACCCCCAAGACTGTCTGACAGGAGGCCAAGACAGCCTCAAGACGACCCAGACGAGCTTCATCATCATCATCATCATCATCATCATCATCATCATCATCAGCATCAGCATCATCATCATCATCATCACCATCACCATCATCATCATTACTATCAGCATCATCAACATCATCATCATCCAACTCATCATCATCGTCATCGACATCATCAACAGCATCAACATCAACAGCATCATCACCACCGCACACATCATCAGCAGATGCATCATCATAATCATGCACATCACCATCAACATCATCATCATCGCTCCCATCATCAGCATCATCATAATGAGCATCAACACTACCAGCACCATCATCAACATCATCATCATCAGCATCATCAACATCAGGATCATTAGCATTCTCATCATCAACATCGTCACCAGCATCATCATCACCATCATCATCCCCATATTCATCATCATACTCATCAGCATATTCATCATACTCATCATCATCAATCGGCATCGCCATCACCATCACCAGCACCATCAGCAGAATCATCACTATCACCATCACAATGTGACCATGACCATCACCATCACCATCGTCACCATCACCAGCACCAGCATCGTGATGAATACCATCATCAGCATCATTATCAACATCAGCATCACCTTCGTCATCATCGCCATCATCATCATTATCACCATGTTCGCCATCATTGCCATCACTACCATCATCATCAGTATCGTGAGCATCACCATCACCATCATCATCACCATCCTCGTCCTAAACCCCATCCTCATCCTCCCCCTCGTCCTCATCCTGATACTCATCATCCGTCTCGCCCTCATCAAGTTCATAATCCTCATCATCCTCGGCATCATTATCATCATCATCAACGACATCGGCAGCGTCGACGTCGTCGTCATCATCATCACCATGATCGTCACCATCCGTAGCCATTTTGGCTCAAGGCCGCCGCGCGCTCAAGCCTTCGGTGACTTAGCGGTCTCCTCAGAAGAGCCCCCTATTGTTCGCCAAGAGGCAGAGAGCACACTGCGATGGCAGCTCGCACGGATGCCAGCTCCGGATGTGCGCCTCGTGCGGCATGCTGACGCGTTGCATGCTGAGGCCAGTTGAGGAGGTCTCCCATAAGTGGGAGCAGCACTACAAGAACAAGCTGCTGCTTATGCGGCACACATCCAATGAGCACACCGAGTAGCAGCTCAAGCAGCTCGACGGCGCCGAAAAGAAAAAGCTGGTGGCGCTAAAGGCGGAGTACGAGCTGCTCACGAAGTTCTTGGCAGTGGTGCGGCGCAACAAAGACGAGAAGGTGTACGCCAACCACAAGATCGAAACGAAGGGTCAGGTTGCAATCGTTATGGGTAACTACCACCTCATCTGCGCAACTTACCGAGCGAAGTCCAGAGTCGAGAATCACTTCCAGTGCCACCGCTGCGACGATGGCAAGGTGCGCATCTTCTTGCATACTGTCAAAAGGAGCTACTACTTCACTTGTGCCGCCAACGGAGGGCAGTCCAACATCGTGTACATCGTTGAGTACCACGGCTGCGACGACGGCAACGTGCGCATCTTCTTGTATTTTCGCTCCGCGCAGCTCGTGCTCACGCAGGAGGAGTCCGAGAAGTCCAAACAGGATAACCTGAAGGCGGAGCACAAACCGCGCACGAAGCTCATGGACGAGGTGCGGGGGGACACACTCAAGGATGACGTTGCCAACATCGCTGGAGCGGAGCAGTGCCACGAGAGGCACTACGACGAGCCCTTCGCCGACATCATGCTGTACGGAGTGCATAGTACCACAGGAGGAACTACGACGAGCCCTTCGCCAACACTATGCGCTTCAGAGTGGAACAATACCACGGGAGGCACTACGACGAGCCCTACGTCGACATCATGCGCTACGGAATGGAATTGTCCCGCAGGAGGCACTACGACGACCCTTTCGCCGACATCATGCGCTACGGAGCGGAGCAGTACCACTGGAGGCACTACGATGAGCCTTTCGCCGACATCATGTGCTACGGAGTGGAGCAGTTTCACGGGAAGCGTTGCGATGAGCCCTTCGCCGACGTCATGCGCTACGGAGTGGAGCAGTACCACTGGAGGCATCATGACGCTACTACTTCACTTGTGCAACCAACGGGGAGATGGTCAAAGCCGAGTATCCTCGCGAGTACCACCGCTGCGCAGAGGACTGACTTGTACCTTTCGTCCGTGCAGTCCTTGGGTGTGCTGAAGGCATGTTGTACTACTGATGCATTTCCCAGATATTCGAATCCGAGAGCTATCCAGATGCAAGCATGATTCCCCCCTGAACGAATTCGAGATGATCGGCCTCATGACGGGGCTTGCATGGCGAGGCTGAGCCACGGATTCTTCTCCCACCTCCGATCCTCCCAACGCTCAGCATGCCGCGCTGGCATCGCCAACTGTCTACGGTTTTCCTTGGACCGCGCGCACCTGTGTGCAGCACCCCGTGAAGCACGGCTCCTAGCGAGCTCTTTAGGGAGCAATCGAGCTCTCTGCGACGGATCGTTTTTCTCTAAAACCTGTTGCCCAACAGTTTGGTCCTGATGTCGAAGAAAAAATCGTCACCATCATCACCCTCATCAGCATCATCATGATAATGATCATGATCATGATCATGATCATGATCATCATCATCATCATCATCATCAGCATCATCGTCATCACCCCCACCATCATTATATTCCTGATCATCCTCATCACAATTCTCCCAAGCCTGAATGCACGAGGAATCACACGTGACTGCCTCCCGTGCCCTCTCGAACAGTCGCCAACCAGAAAACTGGACTGGCACGCTGGCAGAACTTGCCACAGGCAGCTGAATCGTGAAACAGTACGCGCGCTGCTCATTGCGAGCGCCTGCGCGCTCACGCGGCGAAGACAATAACAAACCCATCTTCGAAAACTAAATGGTGGAAGCAACTTGCTGCACTCGTGTCGTATTCGGGGCCTCAGAGCGGAATGATTTATGGTGCAGCAACTCACGTGTCTTAATGTGCTCGCGCGCACGCGCGGAGGCGACTTCATATGACAACCAAGCGGGTTCAGCACAATTATGTTCGGAACGTGAATGGCGGACAGCAGTGCTCAAATCATCTGCTGAGCCTCAACAAAATGTCTGATTGTAAATCAATGCAAGTTTCCTATTGCGCACGCGCGCGCGTGCGAACGTGGCGCCACACTAACACCGGTAAGAACAAAAAATGGTGGGACACATTGTTTCACCACTATTCTGGGCATCAACATGAAACCCGTGACACGGCACATGTTTCTGACTGCACTCGCGAACGCCGGGAAGCAACGCCACATGACAATCAATCGGAAATAGCCACTTAACTTCGAACGCGAACTTGGTGGCAACCAATTGTTTCACTCGTATCCTGGGCTTCAACATGAAATTATAGATGGTGGAAATACGCTTGTGTCTAATAGCACGCGCGCGTCCGCGCGCGGCGCCATATGAACATCAATAAGGAATGGTCAGTTTAACGTCGTAAACTGACTAATATACGACAATTGTGTCACTCGCGCTCTGGCGCTC